ACTGTCATCTATCATGACATATTACACCATATTGGTGCGTCTTTATCTACATTCTTAACTAGCTCTATTATAGTGATAGTTAAGAATGTGTAGTTTTGAATGATTTGGTTATCTTTTTCCCTTATTTTTCTGAGTCACAGTAATGTACATCTGATTGTGTTAAAATATATTCAGCGAACACTACACTTTTGCAAACTACTTTTTTGTCATTTCTAATACATTTTTTGCAATGTTCGTGTCTCAGGGCAAAACGGAATGTAATGTGAGAAATGTGACTGCCAGTGATGACGCTCTGATAGTGATTTTGTAGGTGCAAATGTTTTTCATCGTTTGAGTTCTTTGTGGCATATCATATGTCCCTAGAATATGACGGATTTTCGAATAACAATTTGTTTATTAGAGAGAAAGAAAACTAAATGTATTTTATTGATATTTGTTACTCTTCAATTGTTACAAATGCTCGTGCTACAGAAATATTTACAGAAGACGATTATAAAAATTCCTTTTTTTTATTGAAGTGAACATTAGTAAGACCTTAAAGCGTTAAAACGCTATGATAAAATGTATTCATTCCCTTTAACTCAAATTTGGCTTTTATAATATTTTTGATATATTCGCAGAAAAGAGGGAGGCAGTACTTGAAACATTTCGAAGGTCTGCAACCGCACCTCCTAGACTGAGAAGGAAAACTTGAAGATTGACCTTGTCAAGATGTGTTGAAGCTTTCCATGCTGTGAAGAGGATTATAACAAAGAAACAAATCACTAATGATCAACAAAACATGAAGACTATGCAGAATAGAACTTGAGGAGGCACCGAATTGGACGAAAGAGCGTTATATCCTAGGACGGGCTATATGCTAACATCCAAGCAGTGCACTTCCAATCCAAGTAGACTTCGTGTAATTAGAGAATGGATTAAATGTTCAATGACGATGGGGAGCTAGGCCTTAAAGATGAAAGTAGAAACAAAAATAGGAAAGGAAGAATCGCGCGCAGTATATGACCCTTTTGTTTAAGGTGGTGCTGTATTATTCACCGAAAATAGGAAGTAAAATACGCAAACAACCGACCAGGTCTAGTCTCTTTTCGTCCATCTTGAAGTCGTCCGAGCTAGACTTGTGCTCAAAACCTGCCTTCGTAAGGAATTCAACCTAGCTTCCCCCCTCCGGACCAGTAGGTTTCATTTGCACATTCGCAACTAGCATACCTTGCGCATTGGGACACAGCTTTTTTCGAGGCGCGAATTCACATTGAGTAACACGCATGAACATAAAACTGCATTGTAGAGGCGCTCGTGGATAACGCATGCTGTTTAGAGACGATTAGTTTTAAGTGGAAGAATCAATCGTTGGTTTTTGTTATGCAAACGCCTAAAAAGATAAGAGGATAAGAGTACTTACTGGTAGGTAAGATAGGTACTCAGATTGTCTGTTTCATTTGTCAATGCTATGCAACCAGTACCTTGCTTTACCAGATTCCATTCAACGAGTTTTGTGCAACTTTAGGATGCATTAGCCTTATAATCTTACTGTTCGTATCAGAGACCTCCATTACAGCCACAACTATCACAGCCAAACTAAAGTAACTGCAATCGAAATTTTAGCATTTTTCAAATGTACTACCTTCACTATTACCCCATCTCCCACGAAACCAACGCAGCCAGTTTTGTTTGATGTTAAACGATTCTCGGCGCCTCAACTACTAAAATCCCATAAATGTAGGGTAAGATTTTTGGTAGGGAAGTGGGGATAAACTTCCCCTGCTGGTGGTGAGATCCGGTGCCGATCTAACGTCGTCTTGCAAGGTTTCCCCAACCAAGTATCTCCCATCACCGCGGCACCGCCCCACCCCGGACATGCTATAAGCTCCCGGTCTTCCGGAATGATTGGTAACACAGTGCATGTACGTATGTTTGTAAGTGAGGGATGAGGATAGGACAAGGCATGGCAAGGAAAGATCGTGCGCGGTCCATGTCCCGTTTGTTAGAGTACTGCTCCAGGTTTCACCTAGTGTTGATGGGAGAAACCACGAAAAACTACTGAATTCACTTCGAATCAGCGGCTGAATTCGACCGAGCTCTCTATGTAGTGTGGAAATTCCTGCCACCCTCTGGACTAAAACTTAAGACCTCCCGTCCAGAGGCACTGCAGTGAGATCAGTTGATGCCCTGAGCCACCTCTCGCGGTCTGCCCCAACCATCGGGACTCGAACCTAGGACCACCCGACTTCTGCTGATGCCCTGAGCCACCGGTCAACCCCCTTCGTCGGGACTCGAACCTAGGACCTCCAGGTCAGAGGCTCTGCAGTGACATCAGTTGATGCCCTGAGCTACCTCTCCCGGTCTGCTCGAACCTAGAACCTC